CTTGGATTATGCGTATATCTACTAAGTCTACCAACAACATAGGCAATATCAGGCCTAGTTTTATTTGCCAAGTATAAAAGAGAGCCTATAGCTTGAGAATATTTTAATTGAGATATAGGTTCGCCTTCATTCTTCTTCAAGGGTACTTTTGGATCTTATGGTGTCAAGACTTTATAACACTTGGTGTAATTAAATCTCTTTAACATATTCTCAATGGTACTAGATTGATTAAGGGTGATACCTCGAGAAGTTCTTTCCAATTTCATGCCTAAGATCACTGATGCCTCTCCTAAATCCTTCATTTCAAAATTCATTGAGAGGTAGGACTTTATATCACATACAATTTCTAAGTTTGTCCCGAAAATTAATATGTCATCCACATATAAACATAATATAACATTTTCTTCATTATTCTCCTTGTAATATACACATTTATCATTATCATTAATCTTAAATCCATAATCTAAGATTACTTTGTCAAACTTCTCTTGCCATTGTTTAGGAGCTTACTTAAGACCATATAAGGACTTAACTAATTTACACACCTTATTCTCTTGTCCTTTTACTATAAATCCCTCAGGTTGCTCCATATATATTTCTTCATCTAAGTCACCATTTAAAAATGCGGTTTTAAAATCCATTTGATGCACAACTAAGTTATGGATAGAGGCTAAAGCTATTAGTATTCTAATGGTTGTGATATTAGTCAAAGGGGAATATGTGTCAAAATAATCCATTCCTTTCTTTTAGGTGAAACCTTTAGCTACTAGTTGAGCCTTATACTTATCTATACTTCCATCGGGCTTTAACTTCCTTTTGAAAATCCACTTACAACCTATAGCCTTATTACCAGGAGGTAACACGATTAAGACCCAAGTGTTATTCTGTAATATATATTGAAACTCGTCATTTATAGCTTCCTTCCAAAAAGGAGTATCTAAAGATGACATTGCTTCTTTATATGTAGTTGGATCACCCTCGACTAGGTATGTGAAAAAGTCATCTCCAAAAATCTTTTCTACTCTATATCTCTTACTTCTCCTAAGTTCTTGTGGTTGAGAATCTTCCACTAATGGTGTACTAGTAGAAGATGCTAAATGACTATAATAGGTTGAAGATCTATCAACTATCTGACTTGGTATTCTAAACTTATAAGGAAATATATCTTCAAAGTAGGTAGCATCTCTAGATTCTATTATTGAATTTTTTGCTACATCACTAACTTCAGAGTTAAATACTAAGAATCTATTGGCACTACTACATTGAGCATATCCTATAAAGATGGCATCTATGGTTTTAGGTCCTATTTTTTTTCTTTTTGGCTTGGGCAGGTGTACTTTAGCTAGACACCCCCATACTTTTAGGATTTGAAGATTAGGTACTCTACCTTTCCATAACTCATATGGAGTTCTATCATTAAGTTGGACAGTTACTCGATTGAGTATGAAACATGCGGCGAGCATAGCTTCCCCCCACAAATTCTCGGGTACACCACTATTTAATAACATTGAGTTAACCATGTCCATGAGAGTTCTATTTTTTCTTTCGATTATTCCATTTGATTGAGGTAAATATAGAGGAGTTACTTCATGTATAATTCCACGTTCCTCACAAAAGTCTCCAAGTTTGTTCCAAGAATATTCTCCTCCTTTGTCAGACCTCAATCTTTTAATATTTTTCTCCAATTGATTTTCTACTTTACTCTTGTAACCTCTAAATTTATCAAAAACCTCATCCCTAGTCTTTATCAAATATATATAACAATACTTAGAAAAATCATCAATAAAAGTCACAAAGTATTTATTGCCACCCTTAGTTGGCGATCTATTGGAATCACACACATCACTATGTATAAGTTCTAGAATTTTTGTATTCCTCATAACTACTTTGTGAGGTTTCCTAGGTTGTTTGGCTTGTACACATATCTCACACTTATGTTTAAAGTCTACCTTAGGCTTTGGGAGTAAATTAAGATCCATCAATTTTTTAATTTTCTTCAAACTAACGTGTCCAAGTCTTCCATGCTAAACATCACAAAATTCAACGCTATAAACTTGTGGAGAGATTCCATTCACATCAAAAATAACATTCAACTTAAATAATCCCTCACTAATATAACATTTACCCACAAAAACATTGTTCTTTGTGATTACAACTCTATTTGACCCCATTACAATTTTAAACCCTTGTTGAACTAAAGAAGGTCCACTAACTAAATTTTTCCTCACTTCAGGTACATGTCGCACATCCTTTAAAGTTACAATCTTCCCAAAGGTCATCTTTAATTCCACGTCTCCAATTCCATAAATTTGTGCGATAGAATTATTTCCTAAGGTTACACTTTCACCATTAAATTTTTTATAAGTCTTAAAACAGTTACTACTAAAACATACATGTACATTAGCCCCCGAGTCTAACCACCAATCAATGTTATCATAGGTAAGATTAATCGAAAGATTAAATCCTAAGGCGATCTTGCTAGAGTTTCCCATCTCTATCATCATTATTATATTATAGACCTCAAATTGAATTGGATATCAAGTCTACTTACGTGAAAGATGTAGGGTCAATTTCCTATTGAGATTAAAGTCACTATGAAAATTTTCAACAAAATATAAATCAGATGCAAATCGTCTAATTAAAGCAAATGGATGCACAATATAAAATACACAACTTAAAATAAGAATAATAACTTTTCACGCTTAAAATAGTTTCAATACAACAATTTAAATGTCCAAAAAAAAAAAAATTGATTTCAATAAATTGACTTCTTGGGCAAATGATAGTAACTGTTTTCTAATAATAACTTGATCTGATTTTTAAAATTAAACTGCCTTATATATATATATATATATGATCATGTTTTTTAAAAATAAATTGCCTTATATATATTTTTATATATATAACTCAATACTAAAACAGTTCAAAAAAAAAAAAAAAAAAACACCAATTTAAATTCAAAAGTGCTGGAAAACTATTTTCCCAATAAATTGTTTCCTTATGAAAATAGAACCCTTTAAAAAAAAAAAATTGACTTTCTTATAAAACAAATTATAAATTAAAAAAATGTTGAAACTGTTATTTCAATAAATTAAACTTGCCAAAAAATAATCAACACAACTCTTTACAATACCTCTTATTATTATTATTTTTATTTTTAATATTATGAAACGTATTGTAATTTGAATTTCCAAAACAAAACACGTTCCGTTCACAATTAAAAAAAATATTTAGGTCTTTTACAGAATGGGCAATAAGCCAAGAAGCTATTTAGAAGGGCTATCAACTTTAGACTGTTATGGAAATATAAATTTATGAACTAAAATATTATAAACGAATCACACTAAAATATTATATAAATATAATTGACAATTAAAGTGAGTTTTACCGAAATTAAATCAATGAGAATATGGTAGTTTTGTATGATATTACTTGCATACAAATATATATATATATATATATATATATATATATATATATAGACACATATACATATAGACACACAATTTAAATATATTCGTTACATGTAAAAGAAATAAAACAAATAAAATATAGAAGTAAAGTTAAAGAAAGGCTGGCCTGATATAGAGAGGCAGGCGATAAACACATTGACCTAAAGTTGATAGCCCTCCCCTACGTGCAGGTGCGGACGGTGCTAGTCAACTCCAAGATACAACCCGATCAGTTCTCAGCAGCGCCTCCTCTATGTGCACGACCACATGAAGGAAAAAGACCTAGTCTCCAGTGTCGAGTTACCCAAAATAGTGAAATATATGTGAAATATGTGAAAGATATTAACAAGATAATCTCTGAAAAAGTAATACGCAAATGTAAGTGTAACGTTAATTCAAATAATCAAATTAAATAATAGGGTAATGTGCAAAAAACCCCCCTAAACTTTACTCTTTCTTCCAAAAAACCCCCCTGAACTATTTTTTTAACAGAAAATCCCCTAAACTATCACACTTTTTGCAAAAAAAGCCAGGTGACACTGTTCCAGTAAATTTTGGCCGTAAAATAGTCACGTGCATATGCTGTAAATTGAAAATGCCAATCCTACCCTCTTTCTCTCTCTATGTCTAAATTCTTTCCCAAATTACAGACATTGGACCCTGCAATTTAATGTTCTGCAATGAGACATTCACCAATTTGGGAAGAGAACTCAGCGTCGGAGGCACGACACTGGTGAACTGAATGTCCCAGAGCTGCAAAACGAAGAGATTCTGAGACAGGTCCGGGATAGGACCCGTGAACCATCGTCGAGCTCTCCATCTCTAAGCTCACCGCGCCTACCAAAAGCTCATCACACAGCCGCCGGACTAGAGCTCAACACACAGCCGCCGGATTTGTTCTCACAGCCGTCTTCTTGTCTCCCCCAGATCCGTTTCGAGCTCGATCCACCACCGCCGAATCTGTTTTCATCAACCTCGCAATCGCAGCCTCCTCCTCTCCGATCGACCACTACCTCGTCGACTGTGGCTCAACTGAATCCATCACCGTCAACGTTGACAACCGCCGTTTCGTCGGCGACTCTCCATAGCTCGAACGATCTCACACAGGGATTCGAACCCACTTCCGAATTTTGTCCCGGTTCATTGTATGCCAGTTCCGGCCCAAGTTCTTGGCTGTAATAAAACAAGAGAATTGACATAGAGAGAGACGATCTAAGCATTAACGGTGCAATCGCAGCGGCCAAAGTGAAGTCTCCGGCCAAAAAATTGGTGCAATAACAGCGGCCAAACCACTAAAATCTCCTGCAAAAGAGGAGCGGTGCTACACCGAAGTTGTTGATGCAGAGGTCTCGGTAGGAGGAAAATTCTCCACGTTGATGGCGGTGGTGAGCTGGCTGCCGGGCGATTCCGGTGACTTGGAGACCTGTACCACGGCGACACAAGGTCGCCAAGTAGTAGATTTGGACATGCGTCGCCATGAAGTCGACCTTTCCAAGCTGTGATGCACTTACGTAGCCGCAACCTTGCGGTCGCTTTTTCGCGACACCGATGACCACTGCCGGAGCAGTGCCTCCATCATCGGCCATGAAAAGGAAAGAGAGGGGAAGAGAAGGTTAGACAGAAGAGAGAGATAGAGAGGGAGGAGGGGGGAGGTTCGTACAGTAGCTATGTTGGTGTTGCAATAGATGAGTTAGGGTTTCAAAGCTTAGCTTTCACTGGTTGGTTCAGCGCTGACTCTGTTTGGCGTTGAAGTTTTGGTAAAGTGATAATGAGTTGTCCAAATATTATTGGCTGTTCACAATTTGTCTGACACATCGGCAGTAGAAGCCCATCAAACACTAAAACGACGTCCTTTTATAAAAGGGTAATTTTGTAATCAAACATCTCCGGTGACCTTTTATGCCGGAGATAATTCATTTTGTCCTTAAATTGTACATTTTTAATAGATCAGGGGGTATTTTTTAGTTTAGGGGAGTTTTGTTTTTTTTGCTGAAAGTTTAGGGGGGTTAAATGCACTTTACCCTAAATAATAAAAGAATATTGAAATATTTTAAACGAGTTTTAAAATCTTTTAAAAATCCCAACATATATATATATATATTTTTTATAATATGTAATTATATAGACAAAGGTATTTTAGAGATTTTAGTAAAATTAGTAGTTGACTTCATCTATTTCCGTCGTTGACTGCCATTGACTCTAACAGAAAGGAGGTCCGTGTAAGATATTTTCAAAATTAGGGGAAGTTCGACTAATTTTTCAAACACAAAAGGAGATCTATGTAATTATAACAAATCATAAGAAAGATTTGTATAAATTACCCTTAAAAAAAAAAAGTGCTTAAACATTTTTAAAACAACCTAACAACTTCCCATAAAATTTTGAGTGAACGCTTATGAATATATAATAATATTATATTTTATTTCCCAAAAAAGTCGTGGTTCCCATGTGTCATATTGGGACTTGAAATTCATGCTGACGAGAAGGCACGTATTTTAATTATTTTGATTTCCTTCGATATCCCAAATATATAATTTAAAAGTCCATTCTAACAAATTCTATATCTCCGAACCAATTCTTAATATGTGACCAAGATAAAAAAACAATTCTTAATATAATTATTGAAGATATCGATCTTGCTCCATCTCGAGTCTAAAGATTAGGGTTTTTTAATATAAAAAATGTATTTCAAAATTTCCTACGCTAACATTCTTTCTTTCTCCCCCTAATTTTTCCAATTTCTTCCCAGGAAATTAGAGAGAGCGTAGAGCGAGAGGAGAGGAAATACTTATAATTAAAAAAAAAAAAACAACGAGAGGAAAGAATGATGATAACCTTACAGAAGAAAGAAATAAAAAACATCAATCTTCAAGAGGAATTTTAAAGTGAATGGGATTGACATATATGGTCAGTGGTATATGCCTGTGATATATATATATATATATTATCAAATCTATATTTCTTCTTATAGTTCCTTATGCAGACTTCAGCTTCCTTGCTATCACACGAGCTTAAAAATATCAAAATAAGGAGGATAGAACGATCTCAAAACAAGTCATCCAACTTAACCCGGAGGACGGCAGCCACGTGGATAATGGGGGTCAACAGAAATTTGCGAACATAAAAATAAAGCAATCACACGATAAACTTTAAATTTCGAATCTGGAGTTTTGACATTTTTTCTTCCTTTATCTTTATCTTCGGGTGAGAAATAAAGCACCCTACAATAATTTTAAAATTTTTGAGACACTATTTCAACAAGTTTATTTCAATTCACATACATATACTCCATTTGATGAGATGAGATTTAAAAATCCCCTAGGAAATTTTATATTGTAATATACACAAATCATGAAAAAATTTCACAAAGAGGTTCATTTTCCTTATGCAAAGAAAAAACGAACAGTCAAAGAAAGTGATAAGTGTCTTTCCATTCTTTAAGCTTCTAAATTTCAATCTTTCAAACAAGATGAATAACTGTATCACTTGAGAGGACCAAATAACAAACATCACTTGTACGCTATGATTTTACTCACCATACGCATTTTGTAATGAGTTGTGATTATGCACAGTTGAAAGAGTAAAATTTGTAACGAGTTTTGCTCATGCACAGTTGAGCAGTAAAATTTGTAACGAGTTTTGCTCATGCACAGTTGAGCAGTACTCTTTGTAGACAAATTTTTTTTTTTTTTTTTTTTAATTGGGTAAGGAAACTATTTATAATGAGTTGTCCTGACGTATAGTTCAATTCAGTATCCTTGTGCTAACATCTTGGGTAAATGAAGCCGTTGTCTTAGTTTAGACATGAACAAACTCTAACAAGAATTTATGCATAATCATTTTCCCTAACTGCCCCTAACTAGAGTCACGCAGGAGGCAGGACTCAACGCTGTTTAGGTTAGGAGAATGGCATTTTTGTTGTTTTTTTTTTCCTTCATGGAGGGTGTTTTAAATGACAACATAACAGTGACTACAAAAAGAACCCCTACATGGTGGATGAAGACTCCAGACTGCTCATATAAATAGACCATCCATTCATGAATCAATTCGTACTAAAAACAAAAAGAGGAACTCATCACTGGCCGGAAAAATGACAATGACAACATTTGAAGCTGTTTTGGTGACCATTCTTCTCACCATCACCATGTTGGGTTTTAAATAAATAATTCAGGTAGAAATCAAATATACTGTAATTAATTAAAGTGTAATTTAGATTTGTACCTGATTGATGATCAACGCACATATACCTTTTGAATATCTATGTAATCCTTTGAGAATTCCTGCAAAACATTAGAGCGCTTTACCCCCTTCTAAGAATTGTCGATTAATGGTTAGAATTAATCACACCAAATAAGTTGGAAAATCACAATCCAACAGTATAAAAGCCATACTCCTAATTAGACCACCAAATTGAAAAGTACAACCCAGTCCATCAAGTATTAATAATCACATTACAATCCTACTTTAGAAAACGTAGTATATAGGACCATAAAATAATTTTTATTATTTAAATATATATATATATAAATTCCAACAATCTCCCACTTGGTCCATGCATTCTAAGTTTATAAAATGACACTATGGATTGCAACACACTTTAGAAAAGACGAGTGACCACTCAATTTGTTTTTATAAAAAATACAATTATCGAAACAGATGGATTGATACTTTAGAACACTCTCATCCATAGATTTTCTCAATAGTGGATCATAAATGCGTAGACAAGTAATATATTAGTCTAAACAGTTCCATGATCTCAAAACCGATTCTATATAGGATTCAAGCAAATATAGTGGTTTTACTGTATTTCATGAGATGTGCAAACTGCATGTGATCTAAACACACATCTTACTATCCGTCCTGCTTCATACTATCGCGGTATGTCACCTGAACATATTATAGCAAACCGCCAACCTTCTGTTCAGTGTGAGAGTTTACCAATATGGAGCCAATCCCATATCTAGCCCAAGCTATCCTCATGGAGTGTGAAATACTCCCACAGGCAAACTTTAATATTTATATTTGGATTTACCAATGTGGTGTCAATCTCACATCTAGTCCAAACAACCTCATGAGTAAAATACCACTCTCAGACAAATCTTATATTTGGATTTACTGATATGGCGTCAATCTCATATCTAACCCAAACAACCGTATGAGTGAAATATCACTCTCAGATAATCTTTAATAATTATTTTGGATTTACCGATGTTGTGCCAATCTCACATCTAATCCAAACAATCTCATCAGTGAAATACCACTCCCAGGCAAACATAATAACACGTGCATAAACCATATATATCAAGATAATAATAATTATGCATCAAAAATTTATTTTTGATGCAAATAACTGTAACCATAAGGTGTGAACTGGAGGAAAAATAAAACTGTCACCACATGGCATAAAGAAACTAACTGCAATGTAGCATATACAAAAGAAATACCAGATATCATACCATAACGACTCTCGAACACCTATCCGAATCACGCGTTCTTTAAATACTTTATTATCTTCGGCTGAAGACTTTAGTAAGAGGATTTGCAACAATCTTTCTGTAATCATATAGGGAAATCTTAATGACACTTAAACCTTAACATTCTCATGCTTGAAAATGTACTTTATGTCAATGGGCTTATTATGCTTGGTCACCCTTAAGTTGTTTCTATATACTTAATTAATATAAGCCTTTAGAGAAAGTCCAAGTATTCCTGTAGCGTGATCTCTATGGATCCTAATGCCAATGACATACTTTGTATACTCATGTCCTTCATGTCAAAACTTTACATAAAATTCTTAATATCATGTATCACATGAAGGTCATTGCTACCTTGCAAAATATCATCAACATATAGAAGAAAGAAAACAAAAATGACTCCCACTGAACTTGAGGTATATACATTTATCCATAACATTCTCTTTGAACTTACAATTAATAACTATTGTATCAAAATTTTGGATACTACTACTGTAAAACTTATTTAAGCCATAAATGAGTGATAATGAAAGAATGACTTTTAAAGAGTCCTTTAATGAAGCTGGAGAAAATCTCAAAGAAATTAACACTTAACCTTTGCTTAAGCACTTGGCCATCAATTTTTATCTTATATCCATCAGACACCTCAAAATCACCAACTACAACATACTTCCAAGCTCTAGAAGATCTCCTAAGCTAAACTGACTTAGGAACTAGATTGGAAATTGAAAGAAAGGTCTGTAAAGGAGAAATAACTGAAAGAGTGGGAATATGAGCTTTAACTGAAACCACTAAAGAAAGTGGAATGAAGCCTGAAATAAATAGAATAAATGCTAAAATGTTTTTCTTGCAAAAGAAACTATAATATATTAAACTCCCACTGGATTCACCACTCTCATTAAATATGCATGATATATTCCAATAATCTCCATCGGTCTACATGACAGTATAATCTCGAATCCTTTAATCTTTCAAAATGCCCAACAAAATAATTATTGATAGTGTGAGTATCAAGCTCCTTGATATTTGCATTATATAACTCTATCTCTATAAGACATTTCCACACTTTCTCTTTTCTGTAACTTTATTTTGCGCAGGAGAACTAGGAATGGTGTACTGTGGCACAATGCCCTACTTTTTAAGTATGTACTGAAAATACTACGATTTACACCCTCATTACCATTCTCCCAATAAAACTCACTACCTTAGTCCGATCTTAAAACCATAATCTTTATACCAACTACTTTCAACTTTAGTCTAGTAGATTTTACACACATTAAGTGCTTCGGACTTCTGGTGGATTAAGTACACAATCATACCTTGAGAACTCATTAATGAAATACCTTTGCCGCAAACGAGCTATAATAAGAAATGGAGCACAAATGTCGGTATAAATATAGTCCAAAAGACCAAATGATTAACTAGCCTCAAAATTGCGTTTCTCTGCATTTATCCTTTGATACAACCAACGCATAAAATTTGTGGCCCAATAATCTCATCCTTGACCAAGCGTTCAAGTCTCTTTCGAGAGACATTCCCCAATATCTATGCATAGTATAGATGAATCCGCTTTAAGCAAAGCACAATTTTATTCGGAAGGTATTGAGTCTATAGAAAAACAAGAAACAAGTAGGATCACACCCGAATCCATCCACTATGTCTATACCTATACTTTTACCAAGTTAGGCTCAACTATTAACATGGCAATTTTCATTCCTGCTTTGGTTTTCTTTTCCACCACTATAACCTTTTCTTTTGATGTCCTGTTATTTCTATAGGATCAACATTTATCATTCCATGATCAATGTCTTTTCATGTATTGTTCTGCCTTTCTTTATTCTGTTTAGCCTTATTCACTTTTTCGCCACCTAGTTTCTTCTTGAAACTATTCTTACTGTCACGACAAGATGAGCTCACTCAGTTTTAACACCCTTGAGTCGCTCCCCTTCAATCACATAAAGTGCTAACAGCTGGTTAATGCAACATTTAACTTTTTGTGAATTATAATTCACCTTGAAAAAGCTGAAACAATCTATGTAGAGAATAGATCACCATGTGGACTAATAACTTATCATCAAATATGATTCCCTACTATCTCAGATCATTAACCAGCTTGCACATCATATAGATGTACTCCCTCACTGAACCATTGCCATCATATCTGACTAACATAAATCATGTCAGATAATAACATTGTCGTTGCTTCTTAATGTCCATTAACTCTTTCTTGATAAAATCAAGAAGTCCATTGGCAGTATCAAAAACTAGAATACCACCCTAAATAGTATCACCAATAGAAGCATAAATTAACCTAATGGCATGGTAGTTCCTTTAGTCCACCTAAAAATGCAACAATTTGTCTACCTAAGAAGACTCCGCACTGGACATATGGGTTTCTTCCTCAAAAAACATAGACTCATGGTCTAATAAATCCAATATAATATTAAAACCTGTCTTCTAGGAAATAAAATTTTAACCATTCAATGGTTCAATCCCTATGAGCTATCTTTAAAATTGCGGAAGCGTCTGTAACCTGAATAAATGTTATATTGAATAACATCGCATAAGCAACATATAAAATAATATGTCATAACTTTAGGGATTATTACTTTAATTCGTGCTTAGGGTTTTAAGCCGAATTTCTCAGGGTGTTTTACTATGTGCAAAACCATCCACCCTGCGGGAACAGATAAAATGCCATCTAAAATCACCTTTTGGCAGAATTTTAGATTTTACTTTACCTCCCAAACCTGCAATAAAATCTCACATAGACCTATTTGATTATACTTGAATTATTGCTAAACACTTCCACTACCTTTTGGCAAGAAGGTTATTTAGTTATAATCCAAACACTCTCAAATATTCTACTCACTTATCCCAAACTAAGACATTGATCACCTTTTGGCAGAACAAACGCCCTTATGTAAGTAAGTGCATTGTAAGACCTCAATAAGACCAATGCCCTAAAAATTTAATAAAATAATAACCTCCATGAGCGTGTTACCTTTTGGCAGGTAGCGCCCACTTTAGCTATTACTTTTTAAACGGTCACTTTACCAGTCTTCCTAAACCCCAAGGAAAAACCTAAACTAAAGTTCTATTTATTTAAGTTAAACAATTTCTTTATAATGCACATAAACTAAACCTAAATATTATGGAACACTTAATTTCACCGTAATATAAATGACTTTAATACAAATAAAATAAAGCCCCTTCATACATCTTAAGAAATTACAGTGAACAATATAATAATAGCATGCACTTCAATTGAGATTTAAAAAATCTCATTTTTTTTATATATTTTAATTAAAAGAAATCTTAAAACATGATGCATGCATATTATATTTTGGATATATAATTTAAAGTACTTTGAATCTTTAAATCAATTAGGTTAATACTGCTTGCTTATGACACGTAAGTCCTATAGGTTTTCAACCTAAAATTAAACAAGTATCATTAATTACTCAATGTGACTAAATAGTTACACAACCTCATGTCCCACTCAAAGGTCATTGATTACATGTAATATAACATGAATTAAAATTCTAAACCTGACATCAACTAGGCAAAACAAATCACACTTTAATACCTCACTGACCATTTATGCATTTGATGCGTGTATGCATAAACACATTCAAATAAACAAGTCCACTTTAAATTCATGAAAGTAAAATTTTATATATATATTTTTCTTTACTGTTAATCGCACTATTGTACATGCAATCTTGCATATATATATATATACATATATATCAAAACATATATATTCACCATACAAAGGCTTGCTCACAAAACCAATCAGTCAAGTACGTGGACAAGAAAATATTTACATCACTTATAAGTGTACATCTCTAACTCATGAATATATACATACATGAATTAATTATGTGTGTATAACAATATCTGTATCATAATATTATAATATTTAAATAAATGATTTGCGTATTAAAACTAATGCATTTGTTTTATATATAATTATAAATGAATCAGCTTTTTATGTATATAAAGCACCAGTATAATTGATTGACCTAATCAATAAGATAGTGACAAACCTTCAAATTTTCACTGTAGCTTTATTACATTATGAACTGTAGCTTTTTTTTTTTTTTTTCGTTCAGCGTGCATACATTATGAAGAAAACGATTGACGAAATTGAGCCTTTAAATCCACTGATCCACGTTTTGTTTAAGCTATCAGTTGTTTAAGTACACAATTTCTATTACAATTAGATAGCAAACTGAAACTTTCTTGTCTATTGTTTTTTTTTCTATTCTCGTTCGGCGTGTGCAACATTATGATAGCAGTTGAAGACAAAACCTTATATATTTGTATATAAATTAATTACATACCCATATAAGTATCAGTACAAATACACACACAATTTTTAACTTTATGTTTGATTCATCACACATGAAAATTGAGAATTTAGGCAATTAGTTTGATTTCAAATACACTATAAATCAATCTTTACTATTTTTGATTTCTATAAACCCTAACTTTGCTCTGATACCAATTGTTGGGTTTTAAATAAATAATTCATGTAGAAATCAAATATATTGTAATTAATTAAAGTGTAATTTAGACTCGTACCTGATTGATGATCAACACATATATACCTTTTGAATATCTATGTAATTCTCTGTGAGTTTCTGCAAAACATTAGAGCGTTTTACCCCCTTCTAAGAATTATCGATACGATAGGTTTGAATAAGGGTTTTCAAAACCCTTATATATAACAACAATAGAGGGGGACGGATTCTCTACAAACAAGCATACCTAAATCTCCCTTCCTATCATGGAAACTTAGATATTAATGGTTAGAATTAAATCACACCAAATAAGTTGGAAAACCACAATCTAACGGTATAAAAACCATACTTCCAATTAGACCACCAAATTGGAAAGTACAACCCAATCCATCAAGTATCAATAATCACATTACAATCCTACTTTCGAAAACGTAGTGTATAGGACCATAAAATAATTTTTATTATTTAAATATATATATAAAAATTCCAACACACCATTGCCATCTCCGATGACACCGTACCTATCCCGGTAGGTAAGTCTTAAGTGAAGAGTTGGTACCAAAATAGTGTCGAGCCCTACACGGCCTGAAAACACACTCTGGACCTTGCCTTTGTGACCGCAGAGTCCGGCGGTAAAGTGATCAAGGGTAGGAAAGATGGAAAGAGTGACTTTAAGACGGTGACTGATACTGGTAAAAGTATTTCGGACAAGAATACTAGTCGTGTCATCGTGTGGATTGGAGGTGGAAACTATATTGAGGAAATTAGGATCAATCGAAGCAAGCCTCTTGTCACATTTTATGGGGCACCAAATGATATGCCAATGTTGGTTTATGATGATATTGCAAAGGAGTGTGGAACTGTTGATAGCGCCACCTTGATTGTAGAATCCGTCTACTTCACCGCAGTTAATCTTGTAATTGTGGTGAGTTACTTATAAATCACTATCTATACTTAAGAAAATTTATATGTTCGCCTATGTTATACTTCTTCCCCACTCTCCCTCCTCTTTTGGGTAGTTTCCTGAATTCAGAATTAGATCTTTTATTTTTTTTTTAAATGAGGAAAGTGGTTACTATAAGGTACTAGATTGACCATACACTTTGGAAATTAAAGCTGCTAAATAGCACAACAATAGCTAATGGTCTACAAGTTTACAAAAGTGACTCTTCTGAACCCTTTTGAGATTAGGTGAGAGTGAAATTTGAACTTAAGACCTAGCATACCATCTTGATCCCTAGTTTCTCTAAAATCTTAAGTTTTTTTTTTTGAAAGATAAAATAAGATTTTATATATAAAAAGCTAGGCAGACAAAGGCTAGCCCAATGCTAACCAATGCGGCCCAAATACAACATAACTTTCAAACATTACAGGTCAAATTTGATAGAAACCTAAGTCCCAATCATAGAAGCCCAACCAAGAAACAAGAAGACCGTTGGAGGCAAACTCTATTGCAAGGAACATGGAGAAGAACTCCTCAAGCTCCTACATTTATGTCTGGTGGTTTCGCCAGTGGTCTTGTGGTACAGTAAGTATGAAAGATGGAAGCTCCCATTCTTCTGCGGCTCCGTTAGGGTTCGAAGATTCAATTGTATGCATGGTGTTTAAATTCCATCTAATTGGTTCCAGCGCTTGATGGAGAATTGAGTTTGCATGAAGATACTTTTTTTTGGAAAATCCTTCTATTTTGCACGGTCCAAATGCTATAAACAAGTGATGCCAGACCCAATTTTGAGGCTGTGACACTGTAGAAACCCGAGCTTCTTCTCCAATGGTGTGAAGCCCAATTAATCAGGTTAGACCATGAGGAGAGCTGAATGTGAAACCCACATCTTATTTGCAAAAATGTCCACAGAGGTTTGACGAAGTCGCACTTGAAAAATAAGTGGTCATGGGTTTCCAATTCTTTGTTGCAGAAGGCACATAGAGTGGTATTGATGTGGGAGGTGCATATTTTGTTCAAGGTTGGGAGGCGGTTTTGGACGGCCACCCACAATGTGAAAGAGTGTTTTTGGAATTGATGGCTTGGTCCAGACAAGGTAAGTCAGTGGTAAGGAAGGTAAGTGTTGGTTTAGGTGTTTCAAGGTTTGGGAAATTGAGAATTTGCCTGGATGGGCACCATATAACCTTGTCTTGGTTGTGTGGGTTTGGATTTGGGAGGTTAGCTATTGGAAGCAGTTGAGGTATTAGTGTGGTAATGGTGATTGGAAATTGCCACTGTGAATTGACAATGAAGGTAGAAAACATGGTTTTACTGTCATGGTTTGAGTTAGTGATCTGTTGGGGAGACACAAGTTGATATAAAGGACCAAGGCTGCTCCAATTGTCAAACCAGAAATTGGATTTATTTCCATTTCCAATTTTAACTTTGATAAGAGGTTGGATAGTGGTTCTAAGGTTTAGAAGCTTTCTCAAAGTCCAAGAATGCTGCCCAGGGATTTTTACATCCCAAATGCTTCTGCCTTTCAAGAGGTAGGTGTTGATCCATTTACCCACAACATTTCTTTGGAGCTAATGATATGCCAAAAGTGTTTCATGATGGCCACCTCATTCCAAGATAGAAGGTTAGGAAGTCCCAAGCCTCCAGCTCTTTTGGGAAGGCTTGAGAATCTAGTGATGGCTAGACATGGTTTTTATTAAATGGGTTTGTCAATTAATTTGATGGACTATACTTCTACTTGATGGATTGTTCTACAATTTAATTCATGTTTGTAGGTAAGTAGACAATCTTTACTTAATTTGATATTCCATGACTTATTATTATAAATTCCATGATTCTCTAGATTGATCTGTGCTACAATTGTGACTAGTTTTATAGGTCATGCTTAGAATTGATGGGTTGTGCTACACTTAGTTTATTTGTCGATTAAGTAGACGATTCATTATTGAATTTGATGGTCCATACTTAATATTGCAATTGGTAGTCGTATTTTGTTCACAAAAAGGTTTTCCCCAAATTAGTTGAAAGTGTGTTGTTTGGTTAACAAGCTTGGTGGCAATTCCAATACACCCCAAGACCTCACTTCTCATCTCTTAAATCTCTATCTCAACTTAGTTTATTTTAATTGCATTTTAATTAATTGCTTTCTATAGTAATCAACCAATCTTTCTTTGCAATCACTTGATACATTAGAGTCAAAATTAAATTCCTACTCGCTATACTTCATTAGTTGTAGTAGTGGTTTTATAAATATAAATTTAACTTTTAAAGGCTTCCTAAACCACAATCATGTTTTGACCGTACGAGCGACCTTTCACATTAAAAAGTCCGTTTTCTTAATTACTTAGAGGAAAAGGCGAGGCTCGTCATAATGTTTTCTTCTTTAAGAAAGCCTGGCCAATCATTGGCGATGATGTTACAGTTGCAATCAAGGACTTCTTCACTTCAGGGAAATTGCTTAAAGAGGTCAATTCCATTTATATATCCTTAGTTCCCAAAGTCAAGAAACCCACATCAGTCACAGACTTCAGGCCCATTTCATATGTTTCCACCATCTACAAGTGCATATCCAAGCTAATTGCCAACAAACTTAAGCCTACCCTACCACACATCATTGACCATACACAGTCTGCATTCATTCAGGGTAGACAAATAGATGATAGCATCCTATTAGCACAAGAGCTCCTTAATGGTTACCACAGCAAAAAAAATTAACCCCTAGATGTGCCTTAAAAATTGATTTAAGGAAAGCTTTTAATTGTATATCATGGGACCTCTTCTTTGACACCTTCAAACTCTTAGGTTACCCCCAACCTTTCATTGCTTGGATCAATACCTGTGTCATATTTCCATCATTCACATTATCCATCAATGGTGAATTTAGTGGATATTTCAGAAGCATCAAGGGTTTGAGATAAGGGGACAGGACCCCTCTCTCCCTTTCTGTTTGTTATTATCGTGTAGGTTTTCTCCTCAATCATCAACAAACTAACCTTGGAAAGTCCATTTAAGCACCACTGGAGGTGCAAGAAACTGAAGTTGACACACTTAATCTTTGCTGATAATCTTATGATATTCTCATATGTAAGTCTTCCATCATCGACGATTCTCAAGGAAGCCATTGACACATTTTCCTCACTCTCTGGACTCCAAATCAACTACAGCAAGAGCCAGGTATTCACCTCTGGCATGAATTTACAGATGGAAGCTAACATTCTTTCTTTGCTTGGCTTTGAAAAAGGTTTTCTACCAATGAGATACCTAGGAGTGCCATAAGTTACATCCATGATAAGAGTAGTTGATTGCAAATACCTCATTGATAAGATCACTTCAAGAATTACACACTGGACTAGTAGAAACCTGTCTTTTGCAAGTAGACTTCAGTTAATCAGAGCTGTACTTTTCTCCACACAAACCTATTGGAGCTCCAAATTTATTCTACCAGCGAGCATTGTCAATGATATGGACAGCATCTTCAAGGCCTTTCTTTGGTCTGGTCCATCACTAAATAGGTCAGGTGCTAAGGTTAATTACCACACATAGACATGGAATTAATATAGAAAAACTAGTGTAGAGATTAATTCTCAAATAATCACACATAAGACAACATGTAATCATATAGAGAATCAATAGAAAAATTAATCCATAGAAATCAAAGGAGAACCCAAGATTCATTAAATTCATAAGGCTAAAACATCAATCACAAGATATTATTCCCCAAAAAGTATGAAAAAGATAGAGGTTTAGATTACAAACTTGGGGCTCATCCAAGCCCCAAGGAGAAGTCTAGCCAATTATGGAGGAGGTGGATGCGATCTTGGAACCCTCAAGGGCAATCCTCAAACATGGCTTCATCTTCTTCCCCTTTTTCTTTGTTGAATTCTAGAGAGAGAGTGTGTAGATCTTGAGATGTGTTCTTGGTGCCTCCACTCTTCTCTTTTCTTTTAACTATAATTTCTAACTTTTCTAGAGAGAGAAAATAAATATTTTAATGAAATAAAATTGAAGACAAAAGATAAAGATTGATTACAAAATGGTTCAATTCCCCCTTTATAAAAGGTCCTTAGAGTAGTAAACAAGTCAGAAAATAAGCCCTCAAAATATCTAATCCCGCAACTATGTGGTAGGTAGAGCTCGAGCGCGCGGGAATAAAACGGCTCGCTACCAGCACATTTTCGATCGATCGAATAAATCTTCGATCGATAGAAACTTCGATTGATAAAAAAAATCAGCATTTTTGACACTTTTTCGGATTTTTTTGAAATTTTCCCGAAACTTTTGTTTGACTCCAAAAAGGCTGTAATAGACCATTTTTAGCTCATTTGAACCTTATTGACCTGAAATAGACAAAAACACAAATAAGTACTAAAACGAGAAAATAAAGGTAGATAAATGGACTAAAATACCCTCACTTAGGCGCTAAAATGTGTTACATTTGAGCACTCATCACATTATAACCATCAGGTCCAGGGGCTTGTCATTATTTAGTGACATCATGTAATGGTAGATTTCTTCATTTGATGGAATACAACAAAGGGAGTGGTAGAATGATGGTGGAAGTGTTTGGCTAATGAATGGTGAGAGTGAGTCAATACCTGGATATGGGTAAGGATTCATACCAAGCAAGGAATGAAAATGAGTGATAAATTCCTTCTTGATTGTAGGTTCTGTGTCCAACGGTACTTCATTGGATGCTGTGATGGAAGATATTTTGTTCCTATTGAACCTTGAAGCTATGGATTTGTAGAAAAAAGAGGTGTTTGAATCACCATCTTTTAACCAATGAATCGTAGACTTTTGTCTACAGGTTTATTCCTTTGTGGCTGTAAGGCTTATATAGGCTGAGAGAAGCTCATTTTCCTTTTTTCTGAGCAAGGGATCATCAGGGGTGCCATCAAGATCAAGTTGGCAATTAGACAAGGCTGTTTTTGCAGAAACAACATCATGTTGTAGTGAAGTGAAAATTCTTGAGAATTTCATCCTGA